TAGAAAAGTATCATTTTGCTCCTTTTATAAAATATCTAGGAAGAGAACTGTAATTTTTGTAACTTTGGTGGGAAAGTAAGAAGTCTTGAGGCCAAAACTTCATTTTATTTGTCTTAAATATACCCCTTTTCCTACAAATTAGTAATTGTATTGAAATAACATTTTATTTACTACCATTTAAAAAAAAATTGATTTAAGAGAGAACATGAGCAGGGGAGAGGGGCAGAGGGAGAAAGAGAGAATCCCAAGCAGGCTCCATGCCCAGTGCAGAGCCTGACATGGCTTGATCTCACAACCATGAGATTATCATGACCTTGAGAGAAAATCAAGAGTGGAACGCTTAACCAACTGAGCCTACAATTTTGTTATCTAAAGTAGTTCTAAACCGATTGATCCTCTTGAGCTAGCATCTTAGGAAGGCATCATTCAGTTTTTACTTCTTTGATCTTTCACTTGTGCAAAATACCCCATTAACTACTGTTCCTTCTAGGAGTTTCCACAGGACTTGGAGACCTTCTGTTTAAGGATTTCCATGTAACCCACTTGGAGTCTCCCTATTACAGTGTTATGGGAATGTTAATACATGATTCTGTTTTTTCTTTACTTTTTAAAAATTTTTTATAATATTTATTTATTTTTGTGAGAGGGGGCCAAAGGATCTGAAGCAAGACTCTGCACTGACAGGCTAACAGCAGTGAACCCAATGTGGGGCTCAAACTCACATGAACTGTAAGATCATGACCTGAGCCAAAGTTGGATTCTCAACGTACTGAGTCACCCAGGCACCCCCATCATTCTGTTTTCAATAGTGGATACGACTAATATTGCCAGATTTCTCTGGCTCTTAAGATCAGATGTGATGCCTTTTTGAGTTATGTTAATTTAAGTTTTGTAAGATACCCATTGACTAAATAGCAGTGTGTTTATTGACTTATTTGGATAAATTTCTAAAATGTTATGGGAGAGAAGTAGAAAAATGTTTTTGATTTTTCTTTGATCGTATGCCTTGACAGTGTACTTCCTAAAGTGTTTACTCTTTTTTCTTTTATGGCCAGTTATTCACCTACATGCTTTAAAACATTTGTATTGGGGTGCTTGGGTGGCTCAGTTGGTTAAGTGTCCAGCTTCAGCCAGGTCGTGAGCTCATGGTTCATGAGTTAAGCCCCGTGTTGGGCTCTGTGCTGACAGCTCAGAGCCTAGAGCCTGCTTCAGATTCTGTGTCTCCCTCTCTCTCTGACCCTCTCCCACTCATGCTCGCTCGCTCGTGCTCTCTCTCTCTCTCTCAAAAAAAACAAAACATTAAAAAATTTTTGAAACATTTGTCTTAAAAAATTTTTCCTACTTTCTTTTTTTATGATTTATTGTCAAATTGGCTTCCATTCAACACCCAGTGTTCATCCCAACAAGTGCCCTCCTCAGTGCCCATCACCCACTTTCCCCACCCTCCCACCCCTCATCAACCCTCAGCTTGTTCTCTGTTTTTAAGTGTCTTATGGTTTGTCTCCCTCCCTCTCTGTAATGATTTTTCTCCCCTCTTCCTTTCCCCTCATGGTCTTCTGTTAACTTTCCCAAGATCCACATGTGAGTGAAAACATATGATACCTGTCTTTCACTGCCTGACTAATTTCACTTAGCATAATACCCATCCACGGTGTTACAGATGACAGGATTTCATTCTTTCTCATTGCCAAGTAGTATTCCATTGTCCGTATAAACCACATCTTCTTTATCCATTCATCTATTGATGGACATTTAGGTTCTTTCCATGATTTGGCTGTTGTTGAAAGTGCTGCTATGAACATTGGGGTGCAGGTGCCCCTGTGCATCAGCTCTCCTGTGTCAAGGATGTGGAGAAAAAGTAACCCTCTTGCACTGTTGGTGGGAATGCAAACTGGTGCAGCTGCTCTGGAGACAGTGTGGGGGTTCTTCAAAAACTTAAAAAGAAAATGATCCTAGAGCCCAGCAATAGCAGTGCTATTACCCCCCCCCCAACTTTTAAAAAATATATTTATTTACTTTTGAGAGACAGACAGACAGACAGTATGAGTGGGGAGGGGCAGAGAGAGGAGAGACAGAATCCAAAACAGGCTCCAGGCTCCAAGCTGTCAGTACAGACCCCAACATGGGGATCGAACTCCTGACTGTGAAATAATGACCTGAGCCAAAGTTGGACGCATAACTGACTGAGCCACCCAGGTGCCCCTAAAACATTTGTATTTTGAAAGTCTTTTCATCTTAATTCCATTATTAGTTTTTGTTTATTTTTTGTTCTTGCCTGGGATTAGATCCTTAAATATTTACTCCTTTAATACAGCTTGTTTTCCCTGGTGCCTGTACCTTTGTCTTCCCCAGAAGCCATAATTTAAGGCATTGTAAATACTTGAAATTCTTAGTATTTTATTAAAATAAAAGTTTTCTAATGCTACTTTATCAAGTTGATAATGTTAGATAATTATAGTACCAGAATGGGTGTACATGCTAGTAGCCAGTATGTTCAATTAAAATTTTATTCATAATATTAAAGATATTTAACTGTTTCAGTATTATGTGTTTGCATGTTATATTTTACCTTTGAGGAAGAAGCATTATTTAAGTGTAGCTTCCAAAAGCCTGATCTGTCAATGATAGTATTGAGAAGGTTCAAACAAGAGCATAGGTCAGCTTACAACCTTTTTTTTTTTTTAATAATTTATTTTTAAATTTACACCCAAGTTAGTTAGCATATAGTGCAACAGTGATTTCAGGAGTAGATACGTTACTGCCCCTCACCCATTTAGCCCATCCCCCCTCCCACAGCCCTCCAGTAATCCTCTGTTTGTTCTCCATATTTAAGAGTCTCCAATGTTTTTCCCCCTTCCTGTTTTATGTTATTTTTGCTTCCCTTCCCTTAGGTTCTTCTGTTTTGTATCTGAAAGTCCTCATATGAGTGAAGTCCTATGATATTTGTCTTTCTCTAATTTTGCTTAGCCTAATATCCTCTAGTTCCATCCACATAGTTGCAAATGGCAAGATTTCATTCTTTTTCATTGCCGAGTAATAATCCGTTGTGTATATACCACATCTTTATCCATTCATCTGTAGATGGACATTTGGGCTCTTTCCATACTTGGGCTGTTGTTGATAGAGCTGCTGTAAACATCGGGGTGCATGTGCCCCTTTGGAACATCACACCTGTATCCCTTAGATAAATACCTAGTAGTGCAATTGCTGGGTTGTAGGGTAGTTCTATTTTTAATGTTTTGAGGAACATCCCTGCTGTTTTCCAGAGCAGCTGCACCAGTGTGCATCCCCACCAGCAGTGCAAAGAGATCCTCTTTATCTGCATCCTCACCAACATCTGTTGGTGCCTGAGTTGTTCCTGTTAGTCATCTCACAGGTGTGAGGTAGTATCTCAGTGTGGTTGTGATTTGTATTTCCCTGATGATGAGTGATGTTGAGCATTTTTTTTATATACAGCACAACCTTTCTGATAATAAATGTCAATAAATAAATCTCTTTGGCCTTTTTAATTTTTTCTTCAATTAAAAAGTCTGCATTTTCTTTTTTATTTAAACTTCAGTGTTACTAACTTTAAGAAGTATTAATCTGATAACTTTATTTTAAAATGATTAGTCATTGGCCATCTGGCTCTGAAGCATTACACTTATAAGAAAAATTTAATTCAATTAAATTATCTTTCCATCTACTTTTCAAAGTAAATATCAGAACTTGCATGCTTTTTCTTTGTATTTCAGAATATTCTGTTCATTTATGTGGTTAAGCTTTAAATGGAGAATTCTGTTCTGCTATTTTTGTTTTTTTGTTCTTTAATATAAATAGTACTTGTCTTTAAAAATAATGATTTTAAAAGTACTTTCAGGGGCGCCTGGGTGGCTCAGTTGGGTTAGCATCTTACTTCAGCTCAGGTCAGGATCTCACAATTCATGCGTTTGAGCCCCACATCAGGCTCTGTGCTGAAAGCTCAGAGCCTGGAGCCTGCTTCGGATTCTGTGTCTCTTTCTCTCTGCCCCTCCCTTGCTTATGCTCTGTCTCTCAAAAATAAACATTTATAGAATTCTTTAAAAAATGTATCTTCAGCATTTTAACAGCATATCTATATGTTAATCCATTTTATTTATTTATTTTTTTTTTTTTTTAAATTTTTAATGTTTTATTTATTTCTAGGAGAGAGAGAGAGACAGCTTGAGCAGGGGAGGGTCAGAGAGAGAGGGAGTCACAGACTGAAACAGGCTCCAGACTCTGAGCTGGCCGTCAGCACAGAGCCCGACGCGGGGCTCGAACCCACGAACCGCGAGATCATGACCTAAGCGAAAGTCGGACGCTTAACTGACTAAGCCACCCAGGCGCCCCTGTTAATCCATTTTAAAACATTCTCAGATTTAGCACAGATCGTCACTTGCTTTTTTCTTGTTATTATACTTGTTTTGACTAAATAGATTTAGAAAAATTGATTTTTTAATGCTTAAATTATAAAAATTTTCATAATATTTTAGTATGAATGCAGGTTTTTGTTGGCTTTTTTTTTAAGACTTTTTATTTTTTTTATAATTTATTTTGAGGGACAGAGTACGCACACAAGCTGGGGAGAACATAGAGAGGGAGAGAAGGAATCCCAAACAAGTTCCACACTGTCAGCACAGAGCCCTATGTCGGGGCTTAAACCCACAAACCACGAGATCATGACCTGAACCAAAATCACGAGTCAGATGCTAAACCGACAGAGCCACCCATGTGCCCTCTTGGTTTGTTTTTAAAGCCAGTCTCATTTGATCTATAAAATAAAAATTGACTGAAGTTAAATTATAATTCAGGGATTGTCATAAGCCTATTAGGCAACAATACAACATAACTGATGTTCCCTTTTGTGGGAACATTCCATGGAAATGTTAGAAACTGTTCATGTGTTTGTAACACCAGAGCTGCTGATTTTCCTTTAGGTGATTAAAAAGTTTTATTCTAACACTTTGGTGACAAACAACTTTACTGTTTGTAACTTACAGCTTACCAGCCCCACAACAGAATGGAGCCCTAGTCCTCCAGGAGAGGATGCAGTGGTGTCTTTTGCTGATGTTGGATGGGTAGCCAAAGAAGAAGAAGAAGAAGAGTGTTCAACAAGACAAAGGTTAGTCTGAAAGGCTCTCAGAGCTGAGATGCAGTATTTATTATTTTAAAAGGTGATACATTTGCAGTATTTCATTTTAGTAGCCTAATTGGATGTCTAGTAACTAACCCACTTATTTTTCTTAGGTGGCCTTCTTTTCTGTCCATTTTAAAGACTCAACTAGTGGTATAAAGTTCCTAGAGACCTATAACTCTGTCTCAAGTCCTTCTGAGTTATAGAATTGCCTGCCCTTCAGAATTTTAATATGAAACCAGAAACAACTATCACAAATTTGATTAGATAAGTAATTAAGATGAATTTATTGGGGCAGAGGAATCAGTGTGGGTCATATTAGGGACTTTGTTTAATCACTGGAGAATGCTTCCTAAAAACTGTGTCAAGATGAGTTTGTTTCAAAGGGTATATGGGGCGCCTGGGTGGCTTAGTCGGTTAAGCGTCCGACTTTCGCTTAGGTCGTGATCTCGCGGTTCGTGGGTTCGAGCCCCGCGTCGGGCTCTGTGCTGACTGCCAGCTCGGAGCCTGGAGCCTGTTTCAGTCTGTGACTCCCTCTCTCTGACGCTCCCCTGCTCACGCTGTCTCTCTCTCTCTCTCCTAGAAATAAATAAAACATTAAAAAAAAATTAAAAAAAAAAAAAAAAGGTATAATGTGTAAGAGTTGGAGAGGCACTTTTATTTATTTGAAAGAGCCTGAATAAATTATTGACTATACTTCAGTCTGATAAACAGCCATGCAGCATATTCAACTCTTCATTCTTTTTTTTTTTTTTTTTTTAATGTTTTATTTATTTCTAGCAGAGAGAGACAGCAGAGCAGGGGAAGGTCAGAGAGAGAGGAGTCACAGACTGAAACAGGCTCCAGTCTCTGAGCTGGCCGTCAGCACAGAGCCCGACGCGGGGCTCAAACCCACGAACCGCGAGATCATGACCTGAGCGAAAGTCGGACGCTTAACCGACTAAGCCACCCAGGCGCCCCTTTTACTTTTTTTTCGTTTTTTTTTTGTTGTTGTTGTTGTTGTTCAATTCTTCATTCGTATTAGGCCTCAGAAATACGGAGATAAAAATAAGACCCTGCTTTCTAGGCATATTTGGTGTGCTAGAGGAGATTGAAAAGAAAATCAGTGATGTTGATATTATAAAGTTTCCTAAATAAACCCAGAAGGCCACTGTGGGATGAGAGGGGTTTGGCTTCCGAGAGGAGAGTGTGCTAGAGCTGAAGGAAGACAACCAGCAGAGGCAGGGGAGTTTCTGGAAGGGGAGTGAACTAATCATCAGTGTCAAATGCTTCGAGGCTAGGTAAAATAAAAAAAAATACCAAGTTTCAATTTTGTTTTGCAGTTGGAAGATTATCATTGACTTTTAGCAAGAGTAATTTCATTTGGGTGGTATTAACTGGACAAAATAGGAATCAAGTAATCCAAGAAACAATAATCTGTTTCCATTGCTTTTGGCAAATCCATTGCGTATGGATGATTTGAGTGACGCGTAGAAGTGAAGACATAGTGGTAGTTGAGCACAGATCATGTGTTGCAGATTAGCAGGTGAAGAGCCTTTTTAAAAGATGTTCGTTTTATTTTTTAAATTAAACTTTTTAATTTTGAGGTAATAATTTCGTACAGTTGTAAGAAATAATACAGAAACATTTCCTGTACCCTGTACCCCATTTTCTTCAATGGTAACATCTTGTAAAACTGGTAAGTAGTACAACCAGGATGTTGGTGCTGCTCAAAGTCAAGGCACAGAACGTTTCTCTATGACAGTTACCCTCATGTTGTTCTCTCTTGGCTACACCCACTTCTCCTCCCTGTCCAGTCTCTCCTTAATCAGTGCCGGGCACTTAGCTGTTATTCCATTTTCACAATTTCATCATTTCAAAAATGTTAGATAAATTGAATCATACAGTATGCAGCCTTTTGGGACAGACTCTTTTCACCAAGCACAATTCTCTAGTGATTTGTCCAGATTGTTATATGTATCTGTAGTTTTTTCGTTTTTAGAGCTCAGGTGGTAGTCCTTGGTGTGGATGGACCATTTTGTATAACCATGCACCAATTGATGGGCATCTGGATTGATTCCAGTTTTTGGCTATTGTGAATAAAGTTGGCTATAAACATTTGTGTACTGGATTTTGAGTGAGCATAAGTTTTTATTTCTCTGGGATAAATGCCCATAAGAACAATTGCTGGATCATCTCAGTCATGAGATAGTTGCACGTTTATGTTTTAAGAAACTGGCAAACTATTTTCCAGAGTGGCTGTACTAGCTTGCATTCCCACGAGTAATGTATGGCGTACTAGCTCTGTCTTGGCCAGTATTTGGTGTCAGCATCTTTTTTTTCTTTTCTTGCCATTCTAGTAGCTGTGTAGTGATACTGTGGTTTTTACTTTGCGTTTCCTTAATGGCTAATGATGTTGAACATCTTTTCAAGAGCTTATTTGCCATCTCTTTTTTTTTTAACCATTCTTTGAAAAAATTATTCTTCTTAAGTTTTATTTATTTATTTTGAGAAAGGCAGGGAGGGGGTGGGGGGAGAATCCCAAGCAGCCTCCATGCTGTGCTGATATGGGACTTGGACTCACAAACTGCAAGATCGTGACCTGAACTGAAATCAAGAGTTGGATGCTCAACCTACTGAGCCTCTCAGACACCCCTTATTTGCTGTCTTTTGGATAAAGTGTCTATTCATGTCTTGCACCCGTTTTCTTTCTCTTTCTTTCTTTTTAATGTTTTATTTATTTCTGAGAGAGAGAGAGAGCATGAGCAGGGGAGGGTCAGAGACAGAGGGAGACAACAGAATCCGAAGACAGGCTCCAGGCTCTGAGCTGTCAGCACAGAGCTCAGCGTGGGGCTCGAACCCATGAACCGTGAGATCATGAAGTTAACCGTGTGAGCCACCCAGGCGCCCCTTGTGCCCGTTTTCTAATTGGAGATATTTTCAAGAGTTCTTACGTATTTTAGACAGGAGTCCTTATCAGTATGTAGTATGTAAGATCTTTCCTCCCACATATAACAGGGCAAGTGAAAGCTTGTGCTTTCATTTAAGTCTTTCGGAAAGTAAAAGCTTTTAATTCTGATGAAATCCAGTGTATCCATTTTTTTCTTTTACAGATTGCTTGTGCTGTCAGTGTAGGAGCCCTGGGCTTAGAGTTACAGCCTGCAGATTTTCATGCTCTTTTTTTAAACCTGTCCTTTGTTAATTATTAGACCGAAAGAACCAGGAGGGGTGGTGGGAAGTGTTCCCTCCTGGACGCCATCTTCTTTACAGCACAGGCCACTGCAGAGTAGAAAGAGAAAACCACCATAAAGAGTAGTCATTTCTTGTGGAGAGTTACTTTCTTTTTTGAGTTCAGATTACAAGTTAGGTTAAGACAAATGAAAAAAAAAATGTTAGCTTATCGAGAGAAACTATAATCTATTTCCATTGCTTTTGGCAAACCTTAAGGTCTGAATTAAGTATTATTTGAAAAAAGTCATAAAGATGATAAATTTTTGTTTCCATTACTTTTTTTTTGTCCGAAATCTAATTGGTTAAATACAGAAACTACTTCATTTCTACAAAGTAATACCATGAACTTTTAAGATAAGCACTGTCACACTTTTGTGAAATGTCAGAGTCAAAAGGGCATTATCATGAAAGAAAAATAAAAACACCTGGAGAACTTTAAAGGCATTAAGCTACTCTGCTGTTCTCTGTTAGTGTTTTTATATGCTCAGTGATACAAAGGAAGTAGAAGCTTGCAGCCTAGGGTGAAACGAGAAAACAAGAGGCACATGATGGTAACTAGGTGAAAGATAAAGATTCCATTGTCATTGAGAACCTTATGTTGCTTAATTTCAGTTTAAGGGGTCACTTAAATTCATGGCTTTATGGAAATTAAATATGTTATATTTCATCTGAACTTGTCAGTTGGCCCCAAGTTGCGATAATCAGCTTCTCAATGTCAGATCATTTACTCCTCAAAGAATCCTGAAATAGCCATTCTCTCCCCATGACTTTTCCCGGGAATTGGCAGCGGTCCAGAATTGTTCCTTCTGCCCTCCTGCCCCCCTCTCCAGGTCCCCATCCCGTGAGTTTGATGGCCTGTGTCTGAAGGCTTTGATAGTTTTCAGGTTCTTCATTTGTTCTGGTAATGTGTCTACATACCTCTGTCTTATAATGGAAGAAATCTTCACTGACTTGCATTAGGGCTTGAACTGGGCCATTTTGCGTGATTTCTTTCATTATCTCAGTTTTATTGGAGGAGACTCTGTATGGAGGAGAACACTGATAGATCCTGTTCGATTTCTTAATGCTGTTGGGATGTGGCTTTTTACGAAAATGTTATAGTTTTGTTTTACATTTAAATCTCTTATCCTTTGTCTGGTTTTGGTATCAAGGTAATACTACTTCATAAAATGAATTGGAGAGTGTCTCCTGTGTTCTGAAGAGATTGTACAGAACTGGTGTTAATTGTTCTTTAAATATTTTGTAGTTTTCTCTAGTGAAACCATCTGGGCCTGGAGATTTCTTTTTGGTGCGTTTTAAAATTGTGAATTCAGTTTACTTAATAAAGTTATAGGACTGTTTTATCGATTTCACGTTGGATGAGACGTAGTAGCTTGTGCTTCTCAAGGAATTGGTCTGTTTCATCTACATGGTTGAATTTATGTGTGTAGTGTTGTTTGTAGTAGTTCCTATTTCTCTTGATGTTTATAAGGTCTGTAGTGATACCCATTTCATTCATGATATTAGTCACTTGTATCTTCTTTTTTGAGACTTGTCAATTTTATTAATCTTTTCAAAAAACCAGCACTCTTTTGTTGATTTTTTTCCTGTTTTCAGTTTTATTGATTACTCCAATGATTTTCTTCTACTCGCTTTGATTTTATTTTGCTCTTATTTTTCTAGGTTTTTAAAGTAGGAGCTTACCTTACCAATTTTAGACTTTTCCTTTTTCTTCTAATACGGTAGTCCCCCGCGCCCCCCACCCTTATCTGCAGTTTCTCCTTCCACGACTTCAGTTA